TCATTGTCGTCGCAAGACTAGAAACAGCAGTGGTAACACAAGTCGTAAAGTGGCAAAGTATGGAAGTAGAAGTAGTAGTAGTAGTAGTAGCAGTAGTAGTAGTAGTAGTAGTAGTAGTAGTAGTAGTAGTAGTAGTAGTAGAAGTAGTAGTAGCAGTAGCAGTAGCAGTAGCGGTAGCAGTAGCAGTAGCAGTAGCAGGGGTAGGTAGTAAGTAGGAGTATGAGTAGGTGTCGGAGTAGTAGTTAGCAGTGATTAGTAAAGTAGTTAGTAGGTAGCAGTTCGAAGAAAGGAGTTGGTAGCTGGTAGTTGGCAGTTAGCAGTTAGTAGTTGGGGTGTATAGGAAGCGAAGTGAAGCAGCCCGTGCGGCCGGCGTGCCATGTGCATGCTCGCGATGAAGAGCGGAAACTCGAAGCCAGAAAATGTGTAGAGATACCTCGTGGCACAAAGGGATGCAGGAGCCATGAAAGCGGCAGGAAGGGAGTGAAGTTTTGGTTCAACGCAGACTCAGCGTGTAGGTCCTGAGGGCTTTACGTAGGGTCGGGTTTAGGATTAGGCTTCACAGAGGGGACATAGGAGTCTACCCAAAGGCTCTTCTGTAGTACCTTTTTGGGGTAGTATACTAGAATCCCCAATAACTAGCCTAACTAGCCCAAAAAGGAACTGCACTAGAGCCTTCAGGTAGAGTTCAGCTCAATTGTTCAGCACAGAAGACGATTGCCGATTTCACCTTAGGACAATACAACTTTCTGAACACAGTTTTTCTGAATCCCCACCCAAAGACACCCCCCAAAGCAGTCCCAAGACACTTAACACCAAACCTTCTCCCCTAAGCCCTAAACCCTAAACCCTATTTCCAGCCATGTCCAAGCAGCTTTACTGAATTCACCAGGAGGATGCCTGCAAGAAGCGAAAGACGCCAAGGAGCCGGGGCCACGCCACTCGGGTTCAAGATCTATATCCAGTTTGCGGCTAAGCCCACCCCCTGGGTCTAGGGTTTTGGGTCTAGGGTTTAGGGCTGCAGCTAGAGCTGACGTTCGATTGAAACAAAGGTCCAGTAGACTGGACAAGTGACAAGAGAGCGATAGCCATGGGAGCTGTCCTACTGTGCTCCACTCACGTGCATAAGCTTGGTAGCCCAGTAACCATACTATGATAAGGGCACCCTGTTCTGGGTTGGTGATTTTGGAAGGGAACCATAAACAACAATAGGGTAAAGGGTACCACTGGGTTACCAAGTAAGGGTGGGGAGCTTACAAGGGTTGAGGCTACGAACTCTGGGATCAGAGTTTAAGGCACATGGGGAGTTTCTGAAAATGGGGGGGGGTACCTCTTTAAGGGTCCCTTTGCGCGGATTCTAGAATCATTTGGGGCACAGAAGGGGAAAAAGGGGGGGGGGGGGGGGGTACCTCTTTAAGGGTCCCTTTGCGCGGATTCTAGAATAATTTGGGGTACCCCCCCCAAAGGAAGTATAAGATATATTCCTTCAACCATGCAGGGAACCCTAGTACATTTTCAGGCATAGTATATTCCGTAATTGAAGGCTCTCGGAGTCCCTAGGTTTGCATGACGGACGTCCCGACGCTGCAGCAGAAGGGGCTCGTCACAAAGTTGAAGATGACGATGACAACGGCGCGCAGCCAAGCAGGAATCGCGACCGGGTCCTGCGCGGCCGGGCCAGATCCTACAAAGCCTCAACCTCTGTTAGCCCACGCAAGTACTATAGGGGCCTGAATAATTAGATTAGGTTTGTTTTTTTAGTTTTTTTGGGGAGGGGAGGGGGGGTATTGTACTAGAAGTATAAAGGGACCATAAGGGAAAAACATGAGTAACTACTCCGACCCCTACATCATTCTTCTTTGCGGGCTGCCTTGTTGGTGTCACTCCTCCCGTCAAGAGAGCACCGAGCCCCGGCCAGCAGAAATACTGTTGATACTTCCCCTAAGGGTCCATGTACCTAAATAGGGAGTATTTGGGCCTTAAAGTACCTCCTATATAGGGACTTTGGGGCCCAAGTATTCCCCATCTAGGTACATGGACCCTTAGGGTTCTTGGAGGCAAGTGATGTATAGAAGTCCCCTCTGTGCTTTTTGAACAATGTAGAGAAAAGATGGTCGCACTGCTAACTTTGTTGTAGTGCTAATTGGGTAGACTCCTGTACTACAGCCTTAGAGGTAACCCCGGCATACCTCGGTGAACAAGAACTTGTTCATGGTCTCTTCGAAATAATCACCATAACTATATACACAAACACAGCTAAATATTTTAAAAGAGTTCGCTTCACACAAACAGTCTACAGTGGATCCTTCCTATGATTTCAGGTACGTATACTCAATGACCCCCAAACCCATTAGGGAAGAAATATACATTAAACTACATAGGATTCCTGATCATGATGTAAGGTATATTCCTCAACTGAAAGGTCTTGAACCTGTAAACCCTGAACCTTTAACCCTAAACCCTACTTCTAACTACCCCATGAGCATGAACCTCCAGTATCTTTGTCGTCCTCCTTTCCCGCAAACCCCTTTCGGCTTGCTGGGAGGCCGGTCTCCAGCATGAGATGAGGCACTCCTTGGGCATTCTTGGGGGCCCTAAACCCTTTAATCCAGACTCCTGAAGTAGTGTCTAGTTCATGGTTGGGATGATATATATATATATACATACCTATATTCCTTATTGGGCTTAAGTACCCTTTAAAGTGTAAAAAATGTTACGCAACTATGACAGGTGTAGGGTAGGGCTTTGCAGGGTCCGGGGGTCTCGGGATGATTCAGTGTCGGCTTTCAAGGTGGTTGAGAGCTTCCCCTTTGCTACTTGGAGGTTCATTTGGGTAGGTAGAAGTAGGTTACAAAAATATTTTGTTGCCTCCGCACGATCGCTATACACATAACCCTATTTAGGGGGCTCATAACCAAAATCACAACTACCCGTGAGATTTTAAGAGCACCAACGAAAGCGAATGGGCTTACATTACATGAGTTACTGGGTTGGCCTTTAAACCCTCTGAAAAAAAATATATATATATATATATAGGGTCCCTTATAAACCCAAAGAAGGAAAATAAAAGATGTCCCAAAAGCCAGCCTAGGTTATCATACTAAAAAAAGATTAGGGCCCTTCGACCTCTGCTCTGCTTGCAATACTGGGGTCCCTTCATCCCCACGCGAGCCTGTCCTTTTTCTGAATTCAGTCCTGTTCCTGAAATAAGGTCAGCTCTGTTCCTGAAATAAGGGGGTGGTTGGGCTGTCTGGGTTTTGGTGCATGTGAGGGCCGAGTTTGCTTCGATCATGTGCTACTACTATCAGGCTTCGGGCGCGTTAAAATGCTGAAGCTTATTACGAACCAACCTCGGCAGAAGCAATGGTAGAAGTCCCTTCATGAAAGCTAGTATAATAAAGTATGGGCGCTTTCCTTGCAAGCCCCAAGCCCTAAACCCTAAGCCCTAAAGTTCGTATAGTAAGGGGGTGTCCTTGGGGTGCAAATGCGGCCCTGTTTCTTCTTTACGGAATTTGCGGGCCTTAAGAACAACATTGTGTTCAGGCCTAGGGCCTAGCCTCAGTTCTCTAGAAAGAGTTGGGGGTGGGGGGGGTGCATGCACTATGCATCACCAGGAATACAGATTCATGTACTTCCTTATATGGGCACTCTAGGAGTTATTATCCTCTATTTGGGGGGGTTGTCTGAATACAAAGCATCAGGAACCCAGATTCAGGCTTGGAGAAAATCTCTTTGTCTGTGCATTGGCTTGAGGCAACACACGCCGTTGTTGAGGGTACGACAACGGGGGCTTACTGCTCAGGGTGCAGTGCTTATACGGGCTCCGGGTCCACAAGGGTCTTGGTGCAACGCATTGTGCTGAGGCCCACGCCATGTGAAGCGGCATCCACGATAGGCATCAGCTCACCGCGAGCCATTCTTTTCCGACTACACCACTTAGGTATACCTGGAAACTCTCAAAATATACCTCAAGCTCTTTTCAAGCAACGGCAAAAATCAGGGTTCTGCAGTGAGCCGTATAGGGCACAAGGAGACATGTTCTAAATAAGAACCCAGAACAGCTGCGGCATTTCGTGAAGCATGCCGAGCAGGAGCCTGCATCGACATTCGAGGACGTCTGTCGAACAAACAGAAACCCTAAACCCTAAACCCTAAACCCTAATTAAACCCTAAACCCTAATAAACCAAGCACGCACCCCTGGATCGCAGTGACATAAACCTAAACCCTCAAACTTAGGGTTTTTGTGGGCGCCCACCTAGCTGTGCAAGTAAAACCCTTCCCGAAAGCTGAGATTTAGGATTGAGAAAACATCCGTGCCAAGAAGGGATCATGTTCGTGATCTTTGTAACAGGAAAACGCACTTTTATCACAAGGGCTTAGGGTTTAGGGAATGCCCTAAACCCCAAACTTCTCCACTGCCGCCGGTTTCTCTTAGGAAAGGTCCGTACGTCTTTGGGCTCAAAAAGACCATGCAACCCCACAAGACACCTGAAGTCTAGAGGATGTAAGTTATAAAAAGGGTCTACAGGGGTTAGGTCTACTCTTAATTGCTTAAGAAACGCGGCGAGAATCGATAACAATCCCTATGTTTACCTTACGAGGAAAACATCTTTGCATTTTTGAGGGGGCTCTTCAGCAAATAGTCGTCTATGGCCCTTCTACACCCCGAAACTTAGAGCCAGCTGCGAGTCTCTCATCCGCCAACTCCAAAAACCCTCATCGCACCCTACACCTTCGGGTAAGGCTTACCTGGACGCCCAAAGTATGCAAAACAAGTACAGGATTTAGGGTCTAGGGAATCCGAAAAACCCGTGAAAGGGCCACTCCACTCAGGGGGGGCTTGGTTCTCTTAGGTAGGCCTAAACCCTAAACCCTAAACCCTAAACCCTAAACCCTAAACCCTAAACCCTAAACCCTAAACCCTAAACCAGGCCTTGAGGGTTTAGGGTGCTGGGTATCCTGACATACCGCTTCGCCCATGCACGGAATCCGAGGAGAGCGCAGCATGGCGCCCACCCTGTCGGCGATCTGGGCGTGGGCCGGCACACCTCGACATTTCGGGTTCAGGGTTTAGGGTTTAGGGTTTAGGGTTTAGGGTTTAAGGTTTTGCATTTTGTTTGCCACCCGTTTCAAACCTAAACCCTGGGATGTTCCCCCTTGTACTAGCAGTCCTTCATAGGGATTATAGTACCCCCCCCCCCCCCCCCTAGTATAATCCCTATGAACTAAGGGCTGTTAGTATCAGGGGGAACATCCCAACCCTAACCCTAGTGTCCCCTATCCATGAGCTCCTAAACCCTCAAGCTCGACGAATCACATGCAGCCCTAAACCCTAAACCCTAAACCCTAAACCCTAAACCCTAAACCCTAAACCCTAAACCCTAAACCCTAAACCCTAAACCCTAAACCCTAAACCCTAAACCCTAAACCCTAAACCCTAAACCCTAAACCCTAAACCCTAGACTAGAGCAAAAGGAGGCGGACCTCGAACTAAAGACCGACCACCTGGTAAACCGTAACAGGCTCGTTTCTTCTAACGCCCCACTGCCCTAAAAGCCCTAAACTTTAAGGGTTAGGGTTTAAGGTTGAGGGTTTAGGGTGCCCTAAACCCGATAACCCCTGAAGCCTTAAAAGCCCTAGAGCACCAAAACCCTACTGTAGCGTCTATAGGGAAACGGGTCCAAGGCTCATGCCTTGGACGTAAAAAGCCCCTGTAGAGAACTTTGAAGCCGAAACCTTCGCTTGGACATTTCTCAGCTCAGCTTATAAGCCCCACCCAAAACCCAGGACACCAACAACCCTACAAAACCCAAACCCTAAAAGTACTAAACCCCTCTAACCCTCTAGGCCCTGAAGCCCGTGTGTGAACTTCTATTTGGACGTAAACGCAAAGCCGCTGAGCCCTCGTTAGCACCCGTGCTGAGCCTCAAACACCTAAGCCCCATCGACACTCGATATACACGTCTACTTCTATTGAGCTAGAAGCTGTACTAGTGTGCACTCCGGGTGTCGATGGGCTGCGCACCTCTGAAGTCAAACCCCTCCAGGCGGGAAAGCACCTCCCCAGCCTTCGTCGAGGTTACCGCAAGGGGTTGGAACCAAGGGCGGGATTCGATGGCGGTTTCGGGATTGATGTGTGTTAGCGTGTATAGGAGAGGGCTTGAGTCCTGAGGGTCGGGATGCATGGTTCGGAGCATTCCGGATGAAAATCAGGCTTCGCGTGGCGAGGGCTTCAACGTTTCAAGGGGGGAGAGGGGGTGGGAACCTAAACCCTAAACTATAAACCCGAAACCCTTTCTTTGAACAAACCCTAAACCCTTGTGCCCTAAACCCTAAACCAACCCGAATGGAGGGCGGGGCACGGGGGCTTAGAAACTTCTCCATCCCAGGAACTGAACTCCATCTGCCGGTTGCGAGAGGCTGCCAGGAGCACCCCGAAACCCAGAGAGCCCCCCAACCCCCTTAAGTAAGGAATGGGGTTTAAGGTTTAGGGTTTAGGGGTTTAGGGTTTAGGGTTTGAGGGTTTAGGGTTTAGGAATATACCTTAAACGATACAGAGACCGATCGTATGATTTAGTTAAGGCACATCACTTGGCAGAAAGGTATGAGGATGAAACTCGGCACGCTTCCACGCTGTGAGAGTTTAGGGTGTTTAGGGAGCAAAAAAATGCTACTCTACACCCTACACCCTACACCCTAAACCCTAAACCCTAAACCCTAAACACTCGCCCTTCATGGGCTCCGGAAGAGCGGAGCCATGAAATCATTGAAGGTTTAGGGTTCAGGGTAAAGCTCACACAGCGTTTGACACTCGATACGCTTTGCCTGAGATTAGGCCATGATGATACACGTAGCTATCTACCCCCTGCTCTCTTTTTGATGCAAAACCCTAAGCCCTAAACCCTAAACCCTGTACTACATCCTGCGAGGCAAGCTGCCAAGACAGCTGCCGCTGTGGCGCTGCAGCCACCAGGACGCCCTGCTGTGAGTGCTTCCCTACCCTAAACCCTAAACCCTAAACCCCTAAACCCCTAAACCCCTAAACCCTAAACCTTTTTCTTTTGTGTTCATGTCATCGGGCCAAAGAAATCCCTGAGTCCCCGAGAACGGTGTCGTGCAGCCCCTGTTTGCCTTCAGGGAGGCGCTGGGACGCCCTGATTGTACTAAATAGAAAGGGTTTAGGGTTTAGGGTTTAGGGTTTAGGGTTTAGGGTTTGAGGTTTACCTCTTAAGTTATCGCACCTATGACCCCAATGTCGGGACCCTTATGACGCTGCTTGTATCAAGTGGGCCGCTCTTTACGGACCGACTGCGCGCTGTTGAAAGGCGCAGAGAGCACTAGACCCTGAGACACCGAAAATTCTCATGTCCTAGACCCGTGGCGAAGCCCAAACTCTGTGTGTGTGTGTGCGGTGTGAAAGGTTTAGGGTTTTGGGTGTATATGAGCCTTGCAGACCCCGAGAGAGAGAGAGAGAGAGAGCCAGAGAAGGATGGGGGAGAGGGAGAGAGAGAGAGAGATCTAGAAAGATAAAGCCAAGAAAAGCAGCAAAACCAGGCATCCACCCCATCAACAAAGAATGCTCTTAGAAGAGGTGGCCCTGCGCCAACATCAAGGGCTTCTACTGCTTCACCCTCAGCCCTTGGAACCCCTAAAACGGCAAGAAGGTTTAGGGTTTAGGGTTTAGGGTTTAGGGTTTAGGGTTTAGGGTTTAGGGTTTAGGGTTTAGGGTTTAGGGTGTACCGCTTCAGCCTCAAGCACCTCTGCTCTGCGAGCCCAAGAACCTTCTTTTTCCGGAATAGAACTACCCTTCATCGAAATAAGGAGGCTTAAGGGGTTTAGGGTTTAGGGTTTAGGATCCCTATATCATCTGAGGTCTTTTCTTACTTACCTTGGGGACCACAGGAACCCTACACTTGGAGTCATATACCCTGTACTACTATATAATTCCTACCAAGGCACATGAACCATAAATCCTTTTAGGGTTCCTTTGGCTCCCAGGAAAAGAACCCTAAACCCTAAACCCTGAACCCTACCCTAAACCCTAAACCCCCAAACCCCTGAAGCTCTGGGCCCAGCACCCAGTGGCCGCAGGAGCAGGGGGACGATGCCGTCGCCGTCGCGGAAGTCGTAAGTACCCTGGCCTGGGCCCCCCGGAAAGGCGAAACAAGGTTCAGGGCTTAGAGGGTTTATAGGGTTTTTTTTGGGGTTTTACAGGGTTTTTATAGGGGTTTATTGGGGTTTATAGGGCTTACAGGGTTCATAGGGTTCATGGGGTTCATAGGGTTTATAGGGGTTTATAGGGTTAGGGCTTGCTTCAACTAAACACACAAAGCACGTGGCTCCTTGCAACAGGGGGCTGGATCGGACGGCAAGGCCGCTGACGTAGGTGAAGTCCTGACGGTCGTAGACCTACTTTGGCCGAAGACTGCGGTATGCCAAACCCTAGACCTAAAAACCCTTTTCCCTAAATCCGCTTTTTGGAGGAGGGACAGCAGCGCGATCTGCCCTCGTATTCGGGAAACCCCCAAAACGCCCCAATTAGGGAATATACCTATAAAGGGATCCTTAGTATGATTTAAGGTATATTCCCTAACGAATTAATGAAGGGGTATCGGACTCGTTGGGGATGTATTGCCCGGCCTTGGCCCCCTCGCCTTGTGCGGGAAGGTCCAATCGACCGACCTCACAGGTGTGCGCGGTGCTTCCAACGCAGCACCGGGTCCAGGGTTTACAGGGCATTTTAACCGCAAGTAAGCAGTGCATATCATGCTTCTCTATACCTGTACTGCGTATACATCTACAAAGATGTATACACATATGCGTATATATATATATGTGTGTGTGTGTGTGAATTTCTGAATATCTGAATATATCAATATATGAATACATGAAAATATGAATGCATGAATATCTGTGTATATATATATATATATATGAATGAAGAAATGGTCAGTAATCACGGCGCCGGCGTATCTGAGGGAGATCTAACAGGGTTCCCTGTTTTGGGACATGCCCATAGATGAAAGTCCTAGGCCGGCGGCAAACACGGGCGGCGTCTCTCCGATCCGCGGTTGGTCCTTAGACGTCGCTTTGGGGCACTCATCACAAGGAGGGTTGAAGGTTTAGGAGGTTTAGGGTTTTTGGCTTAGGGTTTTAGTTTTTTTTTTTCCCACCCGCTTTTAGGGTTTGGGGTTTCGGGTTCAGTCTGATCAACTTCATCTACAAGGAGGGGCCGCCTGGTTCGAAGCAGATTTACAAGAGTTGTCAGTATGACAACTCAGGCCATGAGTCCCTTCCCTTCTGCCCTGAAGATGAACCCCCCCCAAAAAAAAAGGAGCTAAACCACGTCATGTAAGGAACCCTCTTATAGTTTAAGGAGTATTCCTTCATCAAGGGGTATTTGAGTCCCTGGGAACACATTCAGTGTGCGCTGTGTACTTAAGAAGTTGGCACATTCGACTTACGCGGGCGATGTGTTTAACTAGACCCAAGAGCAACCTAGGAATACATAAGGGTGCCCTTTGTTGGTTTAAAAGGAGCTTGCAAGGGGTCTAAACCCTAAAACGAAAAGTAAGGGCCGAATTACTCTGAGTCCTAGTAACCCTAAACCCTAAACCCTAAACCCAGAACCCCAAAACCTAAACCTGTGGGTCCTATTTCATGATAGCTTCCGAAGCTTGTGTACTGAGGATGCCAGGGGCTTGGCAGGGCAGAGCCTGCTCTGCAATAAAGGGTTCCTTACTTGGCTTATGGAATTTTCCTTAAGATTTAGGCGATTTAGGCATATTGGAGTCTCTGGGGGCAGCACAGCTACACCTAAGGAGGTTTTGTTTTCCAGTGCTCCCCCCAATCGCCCAGGGCCCACCCGGCTGAACTCCGTTGCGACAACCCAACCAATAAAGCTTTCCAACCCCCTCATTTCGAGTTATCCCTGAAGCATTCTTAGAGCCCTCTGAAGAATGCTGCTGAATATGATCCTCTTAAACCAAATAAGGGAAATATCAAAAACGAGCCATAAACCCTAAACCCTAAATTGTCCCAAGAGCCTACCTAGTAACGGCTTCCGCCTCGCGCCCTGCCCCCAAGTTTACTTGGAGAAGGCTAGAAGCCGAAAGTGAGAAGCCCCCAAGTGCTCAACACAACCCGAAGTTAAACCCTTTTGAGAACTCTAAGTTTGTTAAACCCTAAACCCTAAACCCCAAACCACGTTTTTGGGCAACACCGCTGCGATGGCTTCCTTGGGGGTTTGCACTCTCACGGCTGCAACATGCCAAGTGAGGATCTTGGGCGTGCCCTAAACCCTAAACCCTAAACCTTAAACCCTAAACCCTAAACCCTCAACCCTACTTAAGGAATATTTCTCAAAATATGAGAGGGTCCCTTGGCCGGCCGAAGGGAGTATTCCTCAAGCATGGAGTGTTGTGGAGTCTCTGTGGTGCCTTCTTGGGGTCCTTACTATAGGGGAAGCCTACTCTTTGGGGTCCACTTTAGGGTTTAGGGTTTAGGGTTTAGGGTTTGACCCTATTTTCGCAATCCCCCACATCGATGCTTGGAGGTTCATGGATACCTGCAAGTAGGGTTGCTTAGGGTTCCCGAGAGCAGAACTTGGAGCATTTCAAGCATCAAGCGGGGTACCCCATTGTAGACATGGCCTAAACCCTAAACCCTAAGCCCTAAACCCTAAACCCTCATGCGGCCCGAGACGGTGTCCATTCCCAAAAAGTGCACTTGGAAACTTTGAGGCGGCGCTTGTGCCCTTGGGTGAACCGGTGCCGGGCACAACTTGCAAAGGGAGGGTTTGAGGTTAAGTAGGGTTTAGGGTTTAGGGTTTAGGGTTTGGGGTCTGGGGTTTGGGGTTTGGGGTTTAGGGTTTATGCTTTAGGGTCTAGGGTTTCAGATGCCTCTTACAGTGCAGTGGGACCGCAGTGCAGTGGAACCCTTGCAAAACAGGGCTTTCTAGAAGACAGCGAGTGCTGATGGACCGAGCCAGCGTTCCTCAGATGAGGTCAGCCGGTTTATTCGTCCTCCTCGCCAGTTTCGTCCTCCTCGCCAGTGCTCGAAGCATGACATGAATGAACCACATAAAAAGCCTCTGAAAAAAAAACTCAGCCCCAACAAGGGGGATGTACTATAACCAAACCCGCCTAAACCCTAAACCCTCGAGGTACCAACAAACAAGAATCCTAGGGACTCCAAGCCTTTAATTAAGGAATTATTCCTTTTGATTGCACTGCAACCACCGTACTTACAAAGCGACATGTGCATATGCCTCTCCTCGTCATCGACGGGATTTCTGCAGTCGTGCCACGGCCCACAGCTGGAGCACAGCATGTTGCCACAGCCCTTGCATTCGTAGCCTCAGCAAACAGTGGGGCCACGCGGGTGGTCGAGGAACCGGCGGCTCACTACGGCATACCAGTTCTTAGAACAAAGCAAAGATGTCCTTTTGGATCAGCAACAGTCAAACGTTGTCGCATCTGTCTTTCTTGGTGCATTGTGTCTGACCAGTTAAATGGCATGCATTGTTGGAACTCCGATTGCAAGACTGTCTTTTGTCCTTGCCAGTCTCGGGTGTATGTCTGCAACCCAATAGACCGTCATCAAGGAATATGGCTTATACTATAACCTGAAACCGTAAAGCTGAAGAGTCCCGATCGAGTCCAAGGTATCCTAAATTAAAAAAGAAAACAATTCGAAACAAGCTCCCACTTGGCTCCGTGGCCTCTCACTGCCAGTGATTGCGGAATAGTGTAAGACGCAAGGTTACTGCATTGGGCTGTCGTAGGCTTCCCACGCATGGCCCTGTACTCAAAGGTGACACAAAATGTTGTTGGTTGGTTCTCGGTATGGCGACAGCAAAAGTCAAAACACCTACCTGAGTTGTGCTTTGATCCCTGTGAAACATATATGTGAATAGGTTCCCTTTAAAGGTAAGAGGGGAAAGAACAAATATCCCGAAGCACAACCCAGCTATGTGAACATTGAAATTGTTGAAAGTGCGTGAGGGGCGTGCGCGGCTCGGTGCACGGGTGGGCGCGGTGCGCGAGTGAGGTGTGCGAAGTGAGGTGCCCGGGCGCGTGCTCGGTGCGTCGCTTGCGCGTCCCGCTCGCCCGCCCCGCCCGCTCGCTCGCCCGAAATACGGCCGTATATGTGGGGCTGATATGCGAGCGAGCGGGGTGCGCGGGCGAGAGAGCAGGGCGAGCCTTGCACGCACCCCATGCGCACACCCGTGCACTTCGCGCACCCTGCGCATGCACACCTCGCACACCTCGCACACCTCCCGCGCCTCGCTCGTGCGCAGCGCGCCTTGCGCCTCTCGCGGGCACCCTGTGCGCGTGCCCCGCAGCCATCTTCCCATAATAACGCCCGTAGTATACCTGTTTTGGATTTAACGAAAGTACGAGTGAAATCTCCTACTCCGCTGGGCCCAGCGAAGTGGAGTGCGGGATCTGTTGCTCTAACTCTCTACTAGACTTTCGGCCTGCCACGCCCCAAAAGGATTCAATCTCCTCCACTTCAAAGGCTAGGCTACCCAGTAACCTAGGCTCAAAAATTTAAGGCCCTTTTTTGCTTAAAGGGGTTTATCAGGGAACCTAAACCCCCCAAAAAGGGAATAAGGGTACTACTGGGCATCCTAGAAGGAAAAGTGTAAGCATTCGAGAGTCCATGCCGGCCGCAGCAGGTATGCCAGCTATCAGTGTCGCGGCATTCGCAGTTAATGAACTTCCCTGCTTGAAAACCTGGGAAGGCAGGAGGGGAGCCAAGGAATTCGGTACTTTATATCCTCCCTTTTGTAACCCTTTCATGGATTCTGTCGGTTGTCGTTTTTGCTTCCGGTACTTCCCCAACTTCCGACTAAGAACCAGTAAGCAAGCTCTACGAAGCCCCAGAGCTTTCAGTATATTCACTACACCACAAGCAGACCAGGTACCCTAGGCATGAAAGGGTGCCTAAGCGTGAAAGGGTGCTTACTGTTCGACGCATAGACTTTTGCCAAGGGATCCTACCCTGCTAAAAAATGGTCTGCAAGAAGGGCACAAAACTAGCCATCCTAGGAAACTTATGCAGCGCAGTAACCGCATCCGATGATCAAGTTATCACAAGTGCATTGTTGAATTTGTTTGCTTTGTTGGGGTGCCCGTGGCTAATTTGCAGGTACGTTTTCAGCCTCCCACCAGGCCCTCAGTAAAGTACCCCTTGGAGGGTTGGCTGCTGTATAACCCAGAGACTCCAATACACCTTAACGAAGGAATATTCCTTTTACCATATAGGAAACCCTTATGTTTTTTTGAGGAATATTCCTGAATTTAGGGGTATCGGAATCTCTGGAATGGAAAACCGAGAACCACAAAAGGAGGCAAACGGGTCCCAAATGTGCATCCCTGAACCGTGAATCCTGAAAATCCCCCTGGTTCTTAGTAGGGAGCCCTGTATATGCCCTTTAAGGAGTCTATGGGGTACCTCATTCCCCATACTAAGAACCCGCCAGAAATGAGCAGTCCTCTAAAGTGGGCTCCATTTTCGGGTCTCTTTTTTTTAAGGGTGCCGTGACTATGTGAAGATGAAGATCCCAAAATAGGGACCCTGATTTAGAGAACTATCCAAACCCCAAACCCGGGAAGAGTGCTGCATCCTGAAATCTGTTGAGAAAAGTCGCAGCTGTTGCAGCAAGTGCTGCGCCAGTCAGGGCACTCCGAGCAACTCATTGAGTCCTGGGGTTCATGAAGTGGTGTTGGAGATATACTTATGACTCAGCACCTATAACCATACTTTTCACCGTTAAAATAACCGCCTTACTAGGGAGGATCATGGCTAAGTTAAAACTCAACTTAGCCATGATCCTCCAAGTAGGATGGCTGGGGGACTGGAGACCTCCCCCATCCGACTCTCAGACTGCAAATGACTGGAACTCAAATAAAAGGGTACCCTTTTTGGTTTCAAGGGGAATACAAGGGCATCCCAACCCCAAAAAAGGAAATCGGAGCCGACTCCGGGTCCTAGGAACTCCATCGGTCTTTGTGGAAAGTCTCTGAGACATCTTCCGGAAACCCTAAACCCTAAACCCTAAACCCTGAACCCTAAACCCTAAACCCTAAACCCTAAACCCTAAACCCTAAACCCTGAACCCTAGAATGCCCCGATGGCCTGCTAGCGAAAGCCCTGGCCCGAGCCTCAACCCTAAGTGGCCCTCAACTTCGAGCGTTTAGGGTTTAGGGTTTAGGGTTTAGGGAGGGTTTAGGGTTTAGGGTTTAGGGTTTAGGGTTTAGGGTTTAGGGTTTAGGGTTTAGGGTTTAGGGTTTAGGGTTTAGGCTCCCTTCCTCAACTTCGAGCACTTGTACCCCCTAAAACCCAGAGAGCCCAATACCCCGAAAGTATGGAACATAGACCTGGGACTCTACATACCTACAGTTTAGTAGTAACTTCCCCTTGATAGGTAGAGCCCATAAAACTGTAGGCAAAGAGAGTCCCAGATAATTTTTACAGGGGTCCTTACCATGAAGTAAGCCGTGTTCCTTAATTGACGGGTACTGCGCTCTGCTAACTACTAAACCCCCTAAACCCTAAACCCTAAACCCTAAACCCTAAACCCTAAACCCTAAACCCTAAACCCTAAACCCTAAACCCTAAACCCTAAACCCCACCCTTTGGACAAACAGCTGGCACTTTGCGCACGTCCGTCCTGGCTCGGCGCGTAGTTCGCGCAATCGGGGCACCAGTCCTTATAGCTTCGGGGTTCAGGGTTTAGGGTTTTTAGGGTTTTAGGGTTTAGGGTTTTAGGGTTTTAGGGTTTTAGGGTTTTAGGGTTTAGGGTTTCGGGTTTTAGGGCTTTAGGGTTTTTAGGGTTTGTTTTTGCCACCCGCCTAGCTGACACTCAGGCCACGTTGCAGGGACTAATACCGGCAATACTACTCATCATCAGAAGATAGGGCGCTTTTAAAGTCAGTTTTTAGGGTTTTAGGGCTTAGGGTTTTAGGGTTTTCGGGTTTAGGGTTTAGGGTTTGGGGTTTTAAGGTTCAGGGCTTGGGGTTTGGTGAGGAAAAACGCATGTGGAGGCATTTTGGCATCCACTCGGGGATCTGAACATGGAGGCCTAAAGGGTCAAACGCTCCCGATGTTGTTGGGGGGGGGGACATGGTACCAGGTGCACATTCAAAAGTATGGATTATATATATATATATATAGATATGTATACGTATGTATATATGTACATGTATATATACACATATACATTATATCTGTCTGTCTCTGTGTGTGTGTGTATGCTACCCCCCCCCCCCCCCCGCCCCCTAATACAGTTCAGCGTGTTTCGGGGCGTATTTGCTTCGCCTCCCCGCCAACTCACAAACATAGCTAACTGAATTCTACGAACTCAGCCTTTTTAAACCCCGCAGAAACATATTTAGGATTATATTTCTTTGACTTTAGATATTTACAGTTTTGCCATCGTTCAGGGCATAGTTCTATTTTGCCATAATGTCCAAAGGTGAAGTCCTGCTTGTTCCAAGCTTGGTGAGGTCTGTTCGAATGCTGTCCAGAGCCTTGGGTGCATCTGTCTCTCGGTTCCTGATTCTCGCCCAGAGGTTCGGACATCTTCCATGTTGGATCTCGGCCAGCGTGTCTGTAGTTGAGTAAGGCCGGGGGGGGGGGGGGGGGGGGGGGGGGGGGGGGGGGGGGGGGGGGGGGGGTGGCATGTGCTAGGGCCAGGGATATGCACCCTAAACCCTAAAGCCTAACCCTATTAAACCCTAAACCCTAAACCCGGGTAGCTCCCAGCCTTGTCGCAAGTCTCACAGTGCAGGGCGTCTCGGCAGCTGGACGGTGTGTAGCTGATCTGCAGAGACGATTTTGGGGGGCTACACCCTACTAAATAGGGTATACTTACTAAATTCCTGTAGGTAAATAGGGTCCCAGGAACCCTAAACCCTAAACAACGTGCTGCTGGAAGCTTGTTCTTGGATTGGGCTGCCGAGATGATTGCCGGCTTTCGTTCAAGGGTTTAGGGGTTTAGGGTTTAATGGTGCCGTCTTTCGTTCAAGGGTTTCGGGGTTTAGGGTTTTCGGGTTTAAGGGCTTAGGGTTTTTGTTGTGTCTAGTGTTTGGTCGGAGGATTGTAAGCAACTTGATTTGTGCTTTTTGGCCTCCTAAACGAGGAAAGTCTGGTTTGGATTCGATTCCCAATGGGACAACAAGAACGAACACAACAGTACAGGACTGAGGACAACATGCTTTTCATTCCACGCATCTTTGGGAAGTCGTGCTTGGAGGTTCATGGGTAGTTATAAGCAGGGTTCTAAGTATGGAAACTCTACAGTAAACTTGGAACATCCTTAT